ATCTTACATAAAGTATATAAATTATTTATAAGGTAAGAAAAAGCATAAATAATTCGTAAAAAATATTTTAATAACAAGAATAATAATGTCATATTAATATTGGTAAAATCAGGAAAACGAATATTTATACGTAATATTAGTACAACATTCAGATATAATGCGCGGGTTAAAACAATTAAGAAAATATTTTTTGTGATTAGTATTTGAATTGAGGTAGTTAGTTTTAAGTTTGAAAGTTATAAACATTAATTTTTTTGAAAATGCAGTCAAATTTTAGAAATAGAATAATAAAACTTATTTAGAATTTGAGAATTTTTTATCTATATAATATTAGAATGAGTGTGTATAAATAATATTAAATTCAAACAAGCTAATAAAAAGCCATGTGACAATGTAACAATATTAAGTATTGAATAATATAATCAAAAATAAAAAATAAATAGAGAATTTTTTTTAGTTTTTTTATCATAGAAAAAAACTGTAAAACTTATGTAAATTTGAGATGAGAAAGTTTTTTATGTATATGATATGAAAAGTCATAATATGAATAGGTCCACGTAACTCAAGTCTAATAGATAAAATCAAAAACTAAAAATATTGAATAATAGAAATAAATTAGAGATAATGTAAGGATATTTATAAATCACAAGTTTAGAAAAAAAAAATTAAATATACAAAGTTAAAATTAGAAAGGGAAAGGCTAATTAAATTTGAAATTAGAAAGTTGTTAAAATTCAATATACAATACTTAAACAATTAGCAAAATTATGTTAAATTACTAAAATTTTACTATTAGAAATAATTGAATTTGAAATTAAAAAGTTGTTAAAACTATTGATTAAAATGCTCAAACTATGGACACATATCACGAAATTGAAGTCTTATTTATGGAAAAATAAACAAATACAAAATATATTTCTAATTAGGTAATTATAGTAATGAAAATTAAATTAAATTTGTATTAAAGCTAAAAAGAAAATATTTACATAAGAAATAAGCTGACAGTGAAAATATTACTACGACATTTAGATATAATGTGTTCAAACAACTAAGAAAATATTTTTCTATGATTAATATCTGAATTGAGTGCAGTTCAGTTTATATAAGTTTGAAAGCATAGGGGTAATTTTTTGAAATTGCGTTCCAATTTACAAAATAAAATGATAAGAATTATTTGAATTTGAGATGAGATTTTTTTTATTTCATAATTGTTATTTGGAAATTATTACGGAAAGACAGTAAACATATTACTACATACATATAATATGTTCAAATAATTAAGAAATTATTTTTCTAATATTAAAATAAAATTTTAAGAATATTAAAATAACTTTCTAATATAGGTAATTTTATTAATGAAAATTTAAAATTAAATTTATATCTTAAGCTAAAAAAAATTTTAACTACATCTAAATCAAAATAATTATAACAGAACTCAATACATTTGGAAAAAAATCATCAAATAATTATGTTTTAATATTTTTAGCCCTGCATCAATTTTATAATTTAAAAATAAAATATAATATTACTTTTGGTATAGTAGGGAAGAGAATGTATAAAAAATAGAGATAGTGTGAGGATACTTATTCATTAAATTAATTTTAAAATAAATTAATTAAAAAATTAAATTATAATTAATAATATATAATAAATTTAATTGATTAAAGAATCCGAATGAGAAGGATACAAGCATAAAAATATAACCAAATTTCAAGAATAAATATTTCTATTTATTTAAAGACTACTAAAAGAATAATAAGCAAGACATTAATTAATTAAGCTAATAAAATATTATATGATAGTACAATAATATTAAAATAAATAATGCAATAACTATAAGAAAAAAAACAAAGAAAAGGGAATTTGCATACAAATAATGTGATGAATAAGACATATTTAACTTTTAGATAAAAACAAAGTGATAGTAAGAAGTTTGTTAAAATAATATGATCTATTGTGCTCAATCAAGACAGATCACAATATGATATGTTTAGTATTCTTTAATATTGATAGCGAAACGAAATGCAAGACTGAAATCAAGGGGTTAGATTGCTACAAATATTAAAAAAAAAAAAAATGTTATGCACTACGAGATTTGAACAATAATTTCATATCCTACTTCATAATTAATATCTAATGTTATATAATTTTTATATGAGATGTTTATATTTTAAGGTTATTTGCACATGATTCAAACAACCTACATCACAATTTAACATGACTTATGTCAGCACATCGCGCGGGTACTAATACTAGTGTCTTGTTAAAGTACATTAGTCATATTTCTTTGGCAAGGGTGTTCAATTTTGGTAACTTAGATCTTGAATGGATTGTCTAAAATGTATGAAGAAAGAAAAAGGAAAATGATATCTTAGGTGGTTTAATTAATAGTAGAAAAAGAATTTAAGAAAATATGAATGTTGTTACAGCTGGTCTTCAATATTATCCCTTATATGATCACTTAGGGAATTGTGAGGAATTAAATTCATTTAATTATTATCAGAATTTTTAAAGTATGAAAAAAAATAAGGTTTGGTCCTTACACATGAATAATAATGGCCAAAGCTGGCTGATATAATGATAGTTCATTATTGTACACATAAAAGCCAAGATTTGTCACCAACCTGGCAAAGGTCTGCCCACATGGAGAGACAAAAAAAGATATTAAGCAATTCTTACAGATCAAGTATAAATCGCACAATATGGTAGAAATGATGATTTGGAAAAAAGAAAAGAAAAGAAATGATGATGGTATGAAATCAAACAAGATCAATGAACAAAGTGAATTCAAGCCCCCAAAAAACCTACCCCCCCCCCCCTTTTTTTTTTTGGTCCTCCAATGGTTGCATTATAATATACTCAATCATCACCACATAAGGAGTGTATATAGACCCTTTTAATTTATTTTTTTTGTTTTTTATATATAACGATGGTGTCCAAGGCAGCTTATATGAACCTCGACTATCCGACGAAGACCTACTACCAATGGAGGAGCCACAATGCTTGCATTATAATATACTCAATCACCACCACATAAGGAGGATATATAGACCCTTTTTTTTTTTAGTAAGGATGGTGTCCAAGGCAGCTGGTGTGAACCTCGACTATCCACCAGAGACCTGCTACTAATGGAGGAGCCACAAGTATTAAAGAAGTGTCACCTTTTCGTCAAAAAATTATATTGTATAGTTAGATAAATCTTTTTATTGTATATATACCTACATATTGACACCCCTTGGCTTCTTCGCAAGTGTACTTTATATTTTAACCCCTCCTAGTAAAAATTTTGGCTCCGCCACTACCTGCTACCTCTCACTTGTCAGCCTACCAATCATAGCCAGATTGGACGGAGGGTAGATAGACTTCAAAGACAATTCATAGCCAACATTTAGAATGTTGATAGAAGTTATAGGAAGTACAACCATCACATGGAAAAATTCCAACACATGAGGTGGAATAACATGGTTAGGTAGGTAACAACTAATAAGTCTACAACAAACTTACTGTAATGAGAAATGGCCAGTGAGATTTGCTCTGTGTGAGTGTGGGTTGGAGGGGGGGGGGGGGGTGTGTGAGGGAATTGAAGGATGCACAAAAGACAGCAGCTTGCTATTCACAACAAATATGTTAGCAGCAACAATAGCAAACCCAGTGAAATCCCAAAAGTGAAGTACGGTGAGCGTAGTATGTACGCAGATCTTAGTTTTCGGTAGACCCTCGGCTCAAGAACAGAAAAGGGAGCAACGCCTTACTTGTCCGCAGCATGATGCCTTATTTGCTTTACAGGTTGTAATCACATATCCAACAGATCTCAAAGAGTCGCAGCAAATAAATGCAACAGTAAAAACAATAGACCGTACAGCCAAAAAAGACAATTTGAAAATACAACTACTACTACCTACGCCAAGAAAGTTAGAGTCGGCTATATGAATCGTCTATGTCTATTTTCTAGACAGTCATTCAGAATTTGAAGTAAATCATGTAACCAATCCGTAATAATCATTCGTGCTGATCAAATACCATAGTGGCGACTGGGGAGGGGAAACAATTCGAGCTTCTGTCAACTGAAATGCATCCCCGAAATTTTATGATTGCATTTCAACAACAAATTTACAACATTGGCAATGTGCATATTAACGTACCCACTGTAGTAACAAATATGCGACAAAATGAAGGAACTTTTTGCTTTGTCAATCAATAAACTAGTGTCCTTATGCATACAAGAAATGCTGGAAATATGGTAGAGCACAATGTAAGCAAAATAACTTACCTATACAACTCTTGCCAGAAAACAGAGGAAGAGGTGATCCTTGTAGTTAAAACCAAAGCGACAGACTATAAAGCTAATTCGGTAGATATGAGCCGTAGATAGCTGCTGATTCAAAACTGAGTTTGGTCTGTGACTTCAAGGATTTCCTTTTCTTCCCCTCTCTTTTTAAGTGGCGGGTGCAGGGTTGGCGAGTGGAGGATTCATCTACATGTTAGAGCTACTAATCATGATTATCAAGCTTAGGTGGATTTGATTGTTTTAGATTACTTTCTCTCTGTTTTCTTTCTATATAGACTAACGTCATCCTTGGACGTTAGGGAATTAGAAGGCAGTTGAAAGAGCTACTAGAAAGCTTGACGTACAAGCTTAAACTAGATACCGCCTACAAACTGACAACACCGACAATGGGCATTTTGTCGAGCCTACTGTTGTAACCAACATGTGACATAATAAAGGAACCTTTCACATTGTCAATCAACAAACAAATGCAGCATACGTCCAAATATCTAACTATTAAGATGTCACCATATTTGTTGAGCTTTCGGATATCAGATACAAAACGATTGAGCATAAGCTATATCACTCAAAAAATAGGAATAATTAACTAGGACTGAAAGCTATAAGATGTAAAATCAAAAGTTCAATAATTATATATCCAAACACAAACCTAAAAGATGAAGTGAAAGCTAATGAGTATCAAGTAAAGTTTAATAAGCCATAACCATAGACCTCCATCGAAAAAAACATATATATAAAAATATTCATCAATAAGCAATTTCTCCCCTCATACACTTAAGAATCACTTTAGCCTAGACGAAAGCTGAAAATGGAGCTTCCTCCTACGGCAAAACAGCTAAAAAGAATCACACCAAATAGAGTAACCACATCTTCTACTTTTTTCAAGGTACAACTGTATAATTAACTAAAACAAATCACATATCCAATTAAGAAATTTCCTAAACTAAACCAACCAAGATTCTGTTTTTGTACTCATTTACAGCATTTGGCCAACAGAACCAAGAAAATAATCAAAAACACAATTGAGGAAAGTGCAATGGCAATACCAAGAACAACCTTACTTGGTCCATGACTACGTTGTTGGTGTGGACTTTCATCGTCAGCATAATCAGAGTCGTCCTCATCATCATCCGAACTTATGTCCTTTGAAGGCGGAGGCGATATAGGCAATCCGTGTTTATCACAAGGCGCAATGCCAAGTTTCACTTTCTTAGACAACGTTGAGTGATTGTAACAAAGATTAGAATTTTCACCCACTTTCAACACAACCAATTTCTTTATAAACGACGCATTAAAAGGCAAAATCCCATGAAAGTTATTCTTCTCAAGATTCAAGTATTTCAACCTCTTCATATCCGAAATGAATTTCGGAATAGTCCCATTAAGCTGATTAGACCCCAGATCAAGATGAACTAAACCCGGGATAGCAGCAATCGAATCAGGAATGGATCCGGACAACGAATTCGAAGCCAACGATACATTTTGCAAAGAAGACAAGTCACCAAATGAAGTTGGAATTGTCTCATTAAGAGAATTCGACGAAAGATTCAAGAAAACAAGATTCTCAAGCTCAGTTAACGAACTGGGAATTTTCCCTTTTAACTTATTCCCAGACAAATCTACATAACTAAGATTCGGGTGCCAATGTTTAGGCAAAACCCCAGATAAATTAGCATGTGAAATAGTAACAGAAAGCAAATGCTCAATACTATCCAAAATTATACCAGGACCACTAGCAGTAATAGAAACACGCGAAACAGTTAAATCATTTACATTCTTAAACCTACTTAACCAAACCCCAGTAAGTTTCTTGAGACTATTAATACAAGTAAATGACTTAAGATTTAAACTGAGCTGAGAAGGGAAATGAATAGGTGAAATGGGACAGTTAATAAACTGTAAATTGGTAAGTGTAGATAAAGATTTAAGAGCAGTAAGAGATAAAGCAACATCATCTGAACAGTTTGAAAGGGTAAGTGAAACAATGTGACGAAATGGGGTTGAAAAATCACATACAATAGTTGAGTTGTGACTACATGGGTTTTTACCTGTTGGAATATTGAGGGATTGAAGAGCTTTGAGTTGTTTTGGGTCAAGTGGAGAAGATGAATGAGTTGAAGGTGTGGGAATTGGAGATGGTTTTGGTGAAGGAGAGGAAATTGGAGAAGGTGAAGTTAGTGATTTTGAGGTTGTAGAAGGGAAAATGAAGAGGAGAAAAGTGAATGAAATGAGGAACAAAGATGGATCTGGAGCTGCCATTGTTGCTGCTGAAAGAAGATGGAAAAAAGCAAGAACTATAAGGTAGTATTGAAGTTTGTACAAAAGAATAGAAGACAAAGGGTCGGAGTTTGATGGAGAAATGTATATGCCCTTGAAGTTGGAGATAATTACAGAAATAACATTTTGTATTCATAACGGCTCAAGTCAAAAAAGTTTTTTTTTTTTCCTTTATGAAAATTGGAGGAAACTTTTTTACTCTATTCATCGATTATATTTTATATGACACTATTTATTTTATTAATATATTTAAAATCAATTTAGCTTTACTTTTTCATTTTGTTTTTAATGAAAAGTTCTTATAATCATAGAAATATTATTATGATATATTTAAAATCATAAAATTTACACAAATGTTAGGTATATTTAAAATCAGAGGCGCATCTAGTGTAGAAGTTATGAGTTCAATTAACCCCATAGCTTTCAGTCATACCCTGTATTTTTGCTCAAAAAATCATTAAATATATAAAATTAATAAATTTTAAACCGATTAAATTAGATAAGGTACGGTAGAATGACGAATCTAAATCAAAAAAGTTCAAATCCCGAATTCGCCTCGGTTTAAAATCACAACTCGAAAAAGTCTTCCTTCTCGTTCGAGTCAAATTATATAATGTAAATTGGAACAAACGAGTAAGAAAGATCCTTTCCCTAGAAAATTCTACGTTACTTTTAAAGTACTTAATTACATATGTGGCATCATTCTTGTTGAATGACAAGATTTTATTTTTCTATAAATATAAAGTTTATTTAAATAATTTGCCCAACAACATAAAGACGGAGAAAGACGTAGTTCATAATTAAAAAAAATAGAAAGTGAACGTAATATAGAACTTATCATTTGTCTCAGAAGTGTGTGTATTTTTAGTGTATGATGGTCTTCAAAATGGTTAGTGAATATTTATATAGTTGATCTCAATTTATTTAAAAATGAAATATAATTACAGTTGTACTATAATTTCCTCATAAAGACGTAAAATCTGTCTTTTGCATTGCTTATTTCAAGCTACGATAATTTTCTTATTTTATAAAGATTTTCTACGTAAAATATCGATCTTATTATTCTTTTATTCCCGTTATTTCTATTGCATGTGGTTACTACCCATGCATGCAGATATATTGCAGGTGCCAACTACTTTAGAAATTCATTTTCTAAATCATTTTTCAGCATTATCCCTTAACGATTTCTCGCTATTACTTGTTAAAATATTTAATTTGCTCTTTCGAGCATTTATATAACAGTATTTTTAAAAATAAAATTATATTGTAGTGCAACCTTTGTATCATAACAAGATATATTATAAAACAAAACAAAAAATTTCAGTCTCAACATTCAAATATTTTTTTATCTAAAATAAATTCATTAATGTAAAATGGAAAAAATCAGATGAATACGTGGTTTTATTTTCTTTTTTTCTTTTTTGCAAGTGATATAGACAGATGTTACAGAAACCAATAAGGGTACAATCAGGTCAAAAGTATTATGGTGGAGTGGTAAGTACTCCTGCATCATTAACCATAGGTATCGGGTTTGAACCCCTGGGTATGGAGTCGTCTTTGTCAGGGAGAGCATTATCCCCCAATGTAGGACTTTTCAGCCCGAATCCCGATTTAGTCGGGCTCCAATGAACCTTATGAGTTCAGGACTCTAATTCTTTTAAGTTAGTGGGTTCTAAATTAATAATTGATATATATATATTTCATAAAATTTTAAGGTAAATATAGAATTTTGACCAAAGCTACTGGGTTCGGCCGAACCCATAGGTGAAGGGCTGGCTTCGCCCCTGAATATGGATACCCGACATCGGGCTAGAAACCAAAAAAAGAGAGGATATTTTCGAGTTCCAAAGTATGGTATAGAATACTATAATTGTAAATTAAGTAGAAGCGAAAGGGCACTGTAATTATATAAGAAGTTGTGTTTTATCCGTTGAAAAAGGGAACGAAATAATCCAAATATTTTCAACTGGATCCAGGTATATGCCAGCCTTTTAAAAATGCCTTTTCTCCTTCCACCATTTTTGGTCCTTTTCATGTTTATCATTTTCTAGGCATAGTAATATGTTCTTAAATCCGATAATTCTAAGTTCTATCCCCTTTATTTTTGTATGTAGGACACTATTGTTAATAACTAAAACTTACCAGTCTGATTTTCTTGGATATATACTGTCAGTTAAGTCATTATTAAAAGAGGATAATACAAAAAATAGGAAAAATGACACTGCATAGCCCCTGTAAAAATAATAGCCGAAAAAATATATAAAATTTGTATATATATATATATATATATATATATATATATATATATATATATATATATATATATATATGTATATATATATATATATGTATGTATATATATTTTGTATGTTATATACAAAAATTATACAAATTTATACACTTTTTCGGCTACCAAATGTAAAAAGTTTCTGGCGCGGGCTAAATGACACTTTATAGCCGCTGTAAAAATCATAGCAGAAAAAATATATAAATTTGATGTATTTTTTGTATATATATACATTTTGTTAGGGGTGTATAAAGGAAACTGACAAACCACACCAACCCGATAATCCGAGTCAAACCGAGAAAAAAAAACCCGACTATGGTTTGGTTTGATTTGGTTTGGTATTGGAAAAAAAAAACCGATCATAATTGGTTTGGTT